AAGCATGACGAAAATGTAGATGAGGAATGCAAAGGAGACGAAGAAGAAGAAGAAAGGAATTCCGATAAGGAGAGCGATAAACATGACGACGAACCTGGTTCGAAAATTCTAGAAGAGAATGGCAGTCATGGAGAACATCCACACAGTGACGAGGTTTTTTTTATGATCTTCGCCTACATAGCAATTAGCGTTTACAGACTGGACAATGATTTTCTTGAGAGCTCTTTCTCACCATAAAGTCAGTTTGTGCTGCAGGAGGAAGAAAATGTGCACGAAACAAAGGATCATGAAAAAGAAGAAGACGAACCAAAGAAAAACCGTAGCGAGAGTCCTCATGGTGATAGTGGCAAACATCGCTCCAGAAGTTCAAGGGATAGTCGGAAAAGTGAAAGTGATGAACGTTCTTATGATCGCAAGGTAGCTTACTATACAGTTATTTTGGAGTACGGGGTTATGAGTGTTGTTTAGAAACGTCAGACTAAATACTAACAATGTTAGCAAAGGCAGGACAGGGGGAGACGTTCTTTCACACCATTGAGAGCGCAGGGATTGTGGCCTCACGCTTCCCCACCGTTGTTCCATCAATGACGCTGACACTGAGGCCTCCCGTCTTATCCAGAGTACAGATCGTCTTTAAGTTGCAGTAACGTGACATAGTACTGATTTATGAGATATATCGAAATTTCAGCGGCCAGCGTTTCCCTACTTGTAGCTTAATTTCGAGTAAATAAGGGTCTTCAGCAAAGAACAATTAAGGCACTATTTACACAGACGGTCTTTAGGACCGTGCGACGTCGCGCGCCCGGCAATTACCGTGTGGTTGCAATGGAGCACGCACTCGCGATAAACTCAGTGCGTTATGGGATCAGGATATAATGCAGAGAAATCTACACAGGTTCTGATCGCAAGTTACTTTAGCTTGCGTTCTAATCATTTGACGGTTACAATGTTTTCTGGAAAGCACATTGTCAGAGAGTGTACTTTTTGCCGTTTTGTTGAGGTATGACGGACTGTCCTGTAGGGGGGAAAAAGCAGCGAAAAGTCACTTTACAATAACAAAACCATAGCGAGCGCGTGCAGATGGTAAATGGTAACCATGTGATATTTGCAATTGTCGCGTGCGACGTCGCATGGTCCTGTAACATACCGCAGCAATCCCACTATCTGGAATTCACCTGCTTTTGATCGAAACATTTCCCTAGCGATAGATTTGGCCGAAGCTCTGCAGCGGAGGTATTCTGTCTCCGTGAATACGAATATTGCATCCGTTTGAAGCGAGCACCCTTGTGCCTCCCTCTACAAATGCCAGGTTATGCGCGCGCTTACCACGCGTTTTCTTGCCAGACCAAATGTGATAATTGTATCCAGGGGTAACCACTAACTCGCGGGACCAGTTCTCAGCCTCAGGCGTTTCCTAGAAGAGGGAAGTGATATTCGGGAGCTCAGAAATTCAGCTAGCCCAGAAATTTTGAACAAACCCTGGATTTGATTCCGAAGAGTTGATCAGAAAAAAAAGAGTTGATAGATACTTTTTCTGAGGCTCCTGGTTCTTGGGTTATTGTTTGCGAGTTGGTTAACTTGTATCTAAACTTTCATGAAGCTGCATCCTTGTAGACTGTAGAAACTGCTTTCATACTTTACGGCAGCGTCCACCATCAAACCTCAGCGTTTTGAGCGTACTTCAGCGCCGGCGACTAAGAAAAAGTGGATTTCGATAAAGCGAACGCCAGCGTACACCAGCGTCCATGAGTGGGTAGTATGGGGAAGTCAGAGGGTTGCAGATTGCTCGTAGAGTATGAGGGAATAGGAGGGAGCGGACCCCTGGATTAGGCGTCGTGAAATTGCAACCGCGGCGTACAACTGCTAAAGCACAGAGTTGTGGAATTTACGGTGATGTGCAGTGGAACGGTGCGGTTGCACACGCCCCGACGCCTAATCCACCTATCTGCTCCCTCCTACTTCTACTAGCAGCCTGCTACCCTTCTACTTCCTCATACCCTCAACTGCTGGAGCTGGTGGACGCCTTCGCAAAGTATGAACGCAGCCTGATCCAGTCGTACCAACCACTTCGATTTTAGGAACGAAAAGGTGACAAGCGGGACAAGGATGATGAAGACAAGGTCACAAAAGACGAAAAATCGAAGCGTAGCTCAGAAAGAGCAGAAGATAGTGACAAACGTCATGAAAGGAGTTCAAGAGATAGTCGCAAGAACGAACATCATTCAAATGATCGTGAGGTAATATACTTTATTGTTTTGGAAGACATGTGTGTTTTCTTTCACCGGTTTGTGATAGCCTGGTGTCATTTTGTACTACCTCTCATTTGGAATGGAAGGAGACTTGCGGTCAGGCTTCGCGCTGTGCGCCAAGGGCGCTTCAATGTCATAGACGCGAACGCATCAGCAGACGGGCGGAGGAAATCGATTGGCGCTGGCCGCTTGCGTTTTGACAGAGCATGGGAAAGTAGGGGGGTACACGCAGCCTTCAATTAATCTGGTGCTCTCCTATCCTTCCAGACTCTCCGAAAGCGCTAACGGCCATTGCTGGTCGATAC